TTTAGCATACTAACTTATACTTATAGGTGGCTAAAAATCTGGCATAGCGTAAAAAGAAAAATACAAACAAATGGGGCTGTGACACTTTGGTTGGGGGATGTTTAAAGACTCTTTAGAAGTAAAATTAAAAGAAAAGATATGACTTATAATCCAGAATTAGTTAACTATAACTGCCTGTATTTAATTATTAAAGAATACACGTAAGTTTACATGATAAAAAATTTTTAAAATACGAAATGCGTTAAGAAATAATATACGCACCTGAACTGCACTTTAACCATGAATGCTACCAATAATCAATAAATATTATCCTGGCAAACTAAGTTTGAACTTGAATGAAAGATTAGACTAAGACTGTGACTAAAACTTATGCTTAATAAATTGTTAAAGTTAAAAGTCCTACTAACTATTATTATTTTAATTATAAAAAATAAAGGCAAGCTCATTCATATTTAGCTAAGCAATCATTTTCTTCATAGTCATTGTTGAATTTTGTATAAATTATTTCAATTTCATTATTTAAAAAGTATTTTAAAGTAAAATATGTCATCAGAATCATCTTTATGTTTCAATACAACTGTTTAAAAAAAAATTGTACAAGATAGTTTAGATAGAAAAAAGTACATTCACATTTCGTACATATTTTGTCTTAACTTTGTCATTCATATTCATGGCGCAACTGTAATACGCAAAGATAACTCTTCTGTCTTCACAGATATACATTCTATTTTTATTGCCCAAATGGATGTTGCATATTTAAATAAATAGAGTATTTATTTTTTATTACTATTACTTTATTTAGTTATATTATCTAGGTGTTTGATATTTCTTTCTCAAACAGTTGGGTTTGACAAGTTAAAATATTCATATATCATTTTATCTTATCTTAATACCTCAAATGTTCTAGACATCTTTGAAACTGGGGGGCTATCCATGAAGGGCTGTGTGAAGGTGGTACTCACCCGTGGTATCAATATCATGGGGAACATATTCTATATACTGGGGCCTTTAGTTTCAGGAAACACTGGTCCTCAGCATGGACATGCATCTAATTTTTTTTTATTTTTTTTGGAAGGGTATCACATGAGATAATGTTTGTTAAAATTTGTGATGATTTTATTGTCAGTAAATATTTGGAGTTGGTGATTTACAAAGAGATGAAAAGCAGTAAAAAAAAAAATGAGATATATTACTATTGGCAATAGTTACCAACAGAACAGATTACTCGTGAAGCAAAATGAGTACGCTGTCTCTCATTTTACTCAGAGAAAATTAAAATCGGTAAATGCAGACAATTTGGGCCGTTACGTATCACACGGCTGCCATCTTGGTTGCCACGACCCGTGAACTTTTATAATTCACTGTTTCTAAACCTAACCTGAATCCTAAATGTATCCCTAATGGCACTGATTCTCTGCATTAGCCTTAAAGTCAATGTAGTTCTCAGCTAACCTGTCAAGTCCTTCCTATTACAGAGTTGCCCAACCAAGGACCACTTGAAGTGCTTCACTGCCTACTATAAGATTATCCACAACTGCCAATAAGAAATCATTTTACTTGCATAGGAAGGGGGCTGCCGAGGGGGGTGGGGGGGCAGTCCTTTTTTTTTTATATGATGGGCCAACTGAAGAAGCTTTTTTTTAGTTTCATTGTAGTGGGTCATAAAAATCTTGGCTTGCCTTAGGTGGCACTAACCTTTGAACTGCTACTGAACCTTAGCTGAACCGTAATAAACATGTTATGTCAAGATCGCAAGCTCCCTCCATGTCTTGGGTTTACACCTCATAACCAAATCCCTGGTCTGCTCATTACCTTTCCTTCGTTTGCTATTACATTTCCATGGTCTGCTCTTGTTTCCCTGGTCAACTCATTGCTGTGACATATCAACCAACCAACGCTTGAAGATTGGTCGCTTTCTGATGTTGTGGAATTGTATTACGTAGCTAAGTCTCAGGCTTCGCACCTCTTGCCTTAGCGCTGAAGCCCTGGTCAGCTGCTTACAAGGACAAAGTCATTCTTTGATACATTGAGTTAATGGAGGAACACTGGGTTACCTGGAGCAACATGGTCTCTATGGCCTTGCCTGTTCGTGTTTAGGGAAAGTGCTGGCAGTGACTTCAGGTTCCCCATATATCAGTTTGCACTGGCACTTCAAGGCAGATTTCTGATCGTTAATGCTGCATAACCTTGATGCTGTGTGTCCACTGTGGTGACTGGAAAACTGAATGTAGGACAAATGAACCCACAGACAAATGAACACACAGAACACATAGAGAACTAAACCCATTGACAACTGAAAAAAAATAAAATCTAATTTGCTCATGCACCTAGCTAAGCATGTGGTGCACCCCAATCATTAAGTTGTAAGGGTGCCGCAAC